TTTTAGGGTTAGCCACTTTTCACATTCCCCAAAAAGGAATAACACCTAGTGGAGAATAAGGGAGAAGATCTAAGGGAGGAAGCAATTGGCTAGGCCATTAATAGCTCCTTCGAAAAGGTTATCATCTCCCCATTCTATATATTTGAGGATTTTATAATCCAATGATCTCAAGGTCAATCAAATCCTTATTTACATGATTTTAATCTTCAAAGAAAAATTAATTTCCTATTGTGATGATTAAAGTTCATTAACCAACAGAAGATGAATAGAATAATAGATTTTCTCATCAGGAGAAGTATTACACATTCTTGGCTTCTCATCATTAACAAAGTCAGTTATCCAGCCAAGATGCAGTAGATGTTTCCTCACATTCAATATAACGATACTTGAAAGATTCTTTTCCACTTATACATTTTGCAACATGTAACAATGGAATCAGGGCAAACCTCAAGTCCAGGAACCAAGTCAAGCAAGACTGAAACCCACTCCTGTTTCTATCTCTGTTTTGAAGATTCAATCTCCATATAGGACATAGTGGAGCTCATAATACAAGCTACTTCATTGTGATTATTGGAACTAGTTCTAGAAGCTTCAACAGGATTAGGAGATATTATCGGTAGAGTAGGAGGCAAGCAAAATATTTCTTCTTCACGGGTTGGCATTTCTGAGATAGCTTCTAGATTATCCTGATAGATATACTCTTCAAATTGATGATGTCTTTTTCTCATTTTGATCAATTAGCTGCATTCCTTTACTATCAAATTTACAAACGGCTTCAGAGTGTACAATTGAGTGCGAATTACCGAGCAAATATTTTCCAAGGTATTGGTTCAAAACAACATCACGGGCTGGTTCCGAAAATTTCAACAACGGTGGTCCTTTCTCTACTAAGTTCCTAGAAGAATTCAATTACTTAACAGTTATCTTGAAGTTATCAACTAAAGCCAACAACACTGATTCTCTCCAAATATTATGCATAGAAGTCCAATCTTTAAGCTTTTCAAAGCCACACTTCAGCCGCACATCATACCAAATTTGCTTTATGGAAATAGGCAATGACCAATCTGGCCGAACTGCCTTTATCAATTCAAGAATGAAGTTGCTTTCCCAAGGTTCCCATTCATCAGTAACCAGTTAGACCCAAAGTCAATCCTAAACAATTATGCGAAAATAAATTGGATCGAAATACCAAAAATCTTATGGATCGAAATTTTACCTCCTACCATTGATGGTGATTTCTGAAAGCGTCTTCCTTTTCAGGTGATGGCACTTCCAAACTCTAGACACTGCAATTTGATGGTGTTTATTGTATTTTTTTTGAATGTTGAGCTTGGGGACCAAAACCAACGTATATATAGCCAAACCCCCATCAAGTTATGGCTTCAGTCACCACTTCTTTCAATAGTAGAATTAAGGATTTTATTAATTTTAAAACTGAAATCCCATGAATGTTGGACCATTAATTTGGCTGTTGAAGGAATTGGAGGAAGAAAGGGTTTTTGTTACATTCTCCCACTTGGTCCATACATTCATCTCAATATCTCAACTTAATCCATTGATTGTCCTTCTTAAGAAACAAACACATGAATCATGGTGATGAATCCTCTAATAACGAGTATAATCTTCCATTTATCACGATGTATTTAGTTTCTCAAGAATTATTCTTCATATGGTAATAATGCTTAATGAAAAGAACATACGTCTCATTCTTGGTCCTACAAAGATATATATTCTCTCAAATAAAAGCGCGCGTGAATATGAGAAAATATCACAACAAATAAGAGTCTCGCACAATTTTTTTTAAACAATTACATACTAGAACCAAGTTCCATTTTCTCCACATGATCTTTGAATTTTAACGGTGGCATGCCTTTAGTTAAAGGATCAGCGACCATCAATTCAGTGCATACGTGCTCAATGACCACTTTCTTTTCTTTAATACGTTCCCTTAAGGCTAAATTACTTAATGTCTTAACCATAAAGATAACAGTCAAATTGTCGTAGTAAATCCTCAATGGCCTAGAAATGGAATCCATAATTCTGAGCCCATATATGAAACTCTTGATCAATACACCATGCGATGTAGCCTCAAAACAAGAAACGAACTCATCTTCCATAGTGGAAGTATTAATTAAGGCTTGCTTGGCATTCCTCCATGATATAGCTCCACCAGCCATCATAAAGATGTACAACAGGCTTCCGACAGCAGAAGCATATGGAATGTTCTTCATTTGTTCCCTTTCTAGATCATTTTTCGGGCATTGGTTCAAATTGAACCTGTCACCCTTCACAATGAGAGCTGCACTTGGTAAACAATTTTTCATCCGAAATCTCTCTAAAACTTTGTTGATATACGTTTCCTAAGACAGAATCACCATGTAATCTGTCTCTATGAATCTTAATGGCAATGATAAAAGATGCCTCACCCATATCCTTCATACCGAATTGTTTAGAGAGGAATTGTTTCACCTCATACAACAAACCCTTATCATTAATTGCAAGTAAAATATCGTCTACGTACAAAACAAGGAAACAAATTTTACTCCCACTAACCTTTGGTATATATATTGATCCATGGGGTTTTCTACAAATCCAAATGAAGAAATTACTCCATGGAATTTTAAATACCACTAACGGGATGCTTGTTTCAGAACGTATATAGACTTTTTAAGCTTATAGACCAAGTGCTCACCATCATTAGAGGAGAATCCATTAGGTTGTTTCATATAAACCTCTTCCTCTAAATCTCCATTGAGAAATGCTGTCTTCACATCCATTTGTTGCAATTCAAGATCAAATTGGGCTACTAATGCCAAAATAATACATTTCTTAGATACCAGAGAGAAGGTCTCCATGTAATCGATTCCCTCATTTTGAGTAAATCCCATAGTAACAAGCCTCGCCTTGTATCTCTGAATATTGCCTAGCAAGTCTTTCTTAGTCTTAAAGACCCATTTACAGCCAATGGCTTTGGCACGACTAGGCAACTCAACAAGAACCAAGACTCTATTGCTCTTCATAGAACTCATTACTTTCTTCATGGCATTGTACCATAATTTTGACTCTTTACAACTCATGGCCTGTGAAAATGATTCGGGATCATTTTTTGCTTCAATATTGTGGCCAGGTTCTTATAGATACACTTCATAATCACCAGGAATTCCTGACCTTTTGGTTCTAGTAGATCTTCTTAACATTGTACCATTATCTTCTTGAGAAGCTCGTGGTTCAACTATTTATTCAGGAGGTTTTGGTAATTCCTGAATTACCTGATCTACTTGAACATTATCAGTAGCTTGTGAAATTTCAATGGTTGGTCGTTCAACACTTGTTTGTACTTGGGGGGTGCTGTGAACTTTAATTAATTCATCATCTGAGGTGGGAGACCGAGATTCCAAATGATCATCCTCAGGAACTTTGTTCTTGGTTTGATCGCTCCCACTAATCAAGTCATTCTCAAGAAACTTAGCATTTCTTGATTCCACAATCCTAATTCTATGAGATGGACAATAAAATCTATATCCTTTAAACCTTTCGGCATATCCAATGAAATACCCACTAATGGTCCTTGGGTCCAACTTCTTCTCCTGTGGGTTATAGATCCTCACTTCAGACGGACATCCCCAAACGTGTGTATATCACAGACTTGGTTTCCAACCTTTCAATAATTCAAATGTTGTCTTTGGGATAGCCTTTGTTGGGACTCGATTTAATATATACACCGCCGTCTTAAGTACTTCAGTCCACAAGGATTTAGGAAGATTGGAGCTACTAAGCATGTTCTGCACCATATCCAATAATGTCCTGTTTCTTCTTTCTGCTACACCATTCTAGTCTGGTGAACCAGGCATGGTGTATTGGGCAACTATCCCTTGCTCTTGAAGAAACTTAGCGAACAGACCAGGTGCTTGTTCATCCTCTGTGTATTTACCGTAATATTCTCCATCTCTATTTGATCTTACAATCTTAGCTTCTCATATTGTTTCTCTACTTCAGCTTTAAAGGTTTTAAAAGCATCCAATTCTTTGTTTTTCTTATGAAGCAAGTAGAGATACATATATCATGAATAAACATCAATAAAAGTGATGAAGTATTTCTAACCATGTGAGTCCATGTTTGGACTACATATATCAGTATGTATGATTTCTAATATGTCCGAACTCTTGTTGGTACCTTTGTTGGACTTGTTGGTCTGCTTTCCCTTAATGCAGTCCACACATGTATCAAAATCAATGAAATCTAAAGTATTAAGTGTCCCATCATTCACTAATCTTTTGATTCTATCTATAGAGATATGTCCTAATCTCTGATGCTACAACATAGAGAAGTCTTCATTAATATTACACCATTTAGCGCTAGTACGAAAGTGCATTGAGCTATTAGTGATATTGCTTGTAAATTAATACAATAAAAACCATCAAACAAAGTACCATTCCCAACACAATCAGAATTATATAATAAACTGAATGACGTGTTTGAAAAATTAAAGGAATATCCCAGGGGTACAAGTTTAAAAAAAGAAATCAAGTTTCGTGAAAAACTTGGAACGTAAAAGGTCCTATCTAATTTCAAAGCAAAGCTACTACTTAAAGTTACAATGCATGTTCCTATAGCCTCGACACGTGAGCTCATCTTGTTTTCGAATAAGATATTTTGCTCACTTCCAACTGGCTTTCTTAGGTTTCGCATACCCTGCAAAGAGTTTGCAATATGGATTGTAGATCCAGAGTCAATCCATTAGGTGTTAACTTTTACATTAACCATATTGATTCATAACAAACAAATGAGGTTGAATTACCTTTACCCTCAAGCCATTTTTTGAATTTGGCACAATCTTTCTTCATGTGTCCCTTCTTTTTACAGAAGTAATACTTGGCCTTTTTCTTAATATTAGCTTGGGGTGGGATTTTACCTTTCCCTTTCTGATTGGTTTGAGATTTTCCCTTCCTACGGGTTGTAGTCAACATTGAACTTTTACCTTGTTCCATTATTAGTCTTCCTTATTCTTGAACGCACATAGTCATTAATTCATTAATTGACCATTTATCCTTATGTGTATTGTATGAAATTTTGAAAAGTCCATACCCTTGTGGGAGACTATTCAAGATGTAATGCACAAGGAGGGATTCAGACATCTCAACCTCGAGTTTCTTAAGTTGAGCAGAAATGTCTCTCATTTGCATGATGTGCTCGCTCACACCTTTCACACTAGTGAGCTTTAAGAATGAAAACTTCATTATAAGGGTGCTTGCCAATGCCTTATCTGAAGTGAGGAATTGATCGTCAATGGCCTTTCTCAAGTTCTGGACCTTGTCATGCTAATCGACAGAACCACGTATATCAGCAAAAATTTTAGTCTTTATGAATATCACACTGAAGTCATTAGATCGCTCCCATTTTTCATAAAGCGCAATGTCTTCTGCAGTGCTCGCATCAGTAATTTTAGGTGTTTCGTCTTTCCTAATAATATAATCAATATCTATCCACCCTAATTGGAGAAGAATTCTCTCCTTCCATACTTTATAGTTGTCACCCTTAAATTCGGGAATATCACAATGAATATCAGAGAAATTGGCAGGTTGTGAAGCTGCATAATATTAAAAATTGCTTATGTTAACTTGAGGCTTAATTGAATAGATTGCATGTTTTAGTAGTGTAATTCATGCTGAAATTGAATATAATGACATAAAAATTGTCTGTGGGCTATATTTTTAATTCAATCATATCAAATTATTCCTTATAATAAAATTATCAAATTATGCACATAATTCATATAAAATCAATTCGATATTCTATCACAAGGTAAACTTTATAATAAAACTATCAAATTATGTACTTATTCATACTTCCTATGGGCATATTATGAAATAATTTGATATTTTATTCTAATTAATCATACAAATATAACAAAATTCCTGTGGAATAAATTCATTATATTAAGTATAATTAATTACAATCTAATGTCGTTAATCCTTGTGTGATCCTCATCTTAATATATAATTTTACTTAATTAAAGATGTTGTGGCTAATCCTTAAATAAATAAAATTATACGGATCACTCGACATTATCATTTTATGCATAAACAATCAACTTAATATGATAATAAGTCTAATTGCATAAAATATTCTCATAATCGTTACATATTGCATAAAAATAAATTAAAATTAATGATTTTCAATTGGGCTAAGAATTAATGGCCCACTTAAAAGGATATCTTCTTCAATTCCTTTTGTATACGTAAAGCACATATTTCAAACAGAGAAACAGAGATGCCTTTAACCCGATTTTGAACCTCTCCAAAATTCAACTTTTTCAATATCAAAACCCTAAATTTAAAACACGTAGAGGCTAGAAGGATGATTTCATGAAGGAATCCGAATTTATTTTCATGAAAATTAAATCGAGCAGAAATCAAATTTATCCAGATTGTTTCATAAACATCAAGGTAGAGGTTAGAATTGGCTATGATACCAAATGTTAGACCCAAAGTCGATCCTAAGAAATTATGCGAAAATAAATTTGATCGAAATACCAAAAATCTTATGGATCGAAATTTTACCTCCAGCCATTGATGGTGATTTGTGAAAGCTTCTTCCTTTTCAGGTAATGACACTTCCAAACTCTAGACATTGCAATTTAATGGTGTATATTGTGTTTTTTCGAGTGTTGAGCTTGGGGACCAAAACCAACGTATATATAGCCAAACTCCCATCAAGTTATGGCTTTAGTTACCACTTCTTTCAATGGTAGAATTAAGGATTTTATTAATGTTGAAGCTGAAACCCCATGAATGTTGGACCATTAATTTAGCTGTTGAAGGAATTGGAAGAAGAAAGGTTTTCTGTTACATAACCTCCTCTCAATCTCGAATTAACCTCAACATGTGAATCTAAGCAACAATTTTGTCACCCATATCAAGAAAGAAAATTCTCCACTACTCATGACTGTCCTCACAAGTATCAATCGAACCACAAAAGCTCAAATCCTTTTTTCTACAAATTGTAAAAGTAAAAATGGAACAATGAATAAAAAAAATTCACAAAAGCAATGAATTATCAAGCATACAAGACAATTCATAACAAATATATACATAAATATGACACCTTACTAAAAAATGTATATCAAATATAGAGTTCCAAAACAATTTCTAAATCAAGAACCTCAAATAACAACCAGTAAAACTTTGACAAAAAATTAGATAGAGTAGCAAAATTCAAATCGTACTCAAAATCGAGAGTTTCAATTGGGCAAACATTGGCGCCAACATAGTAATCTGATATCAAGTAGTAGCGTCACCGCGTCGTGGCTACGAGAGGAAGCTTAGAATTAGAGTGAGGGTTGCTTTAGTTTGCTTTTCGAATTACATTTGAGGGGAAAGGTTTTAACCTCAGTAGGTGTATGAGCTATGGTAATGGGTCTAGCATTAAAAAAAATCCAACATAACAAAAGGCCTACGAATTTTTAAAAAATTGGCCCAACAACTACAATTAAGTGGGTTAGATCGGGTCCAAATAACGACAACGTTCAATGTACGTTGCTAAAAGATTAATGAAAATGTGCAACAAACGTTTAAGAAAATTAAAAATTAATGGCAACATTCATATGTGCATTGTTAAAACACTTAACAGGCACTGTGCAATGCACATTATTGAAACACTAATGGTGACGTTCAAATGCGCATTGCTAAAACATCTAATGGCAATGTGCATTGCCTTTTGGTAAAACTAATTAACGACAATATGCATTACACGTTGCTAAAACATTAACAACAATGCACATTGCAGGTTGCGAAAAAAAATTCAATGACAACGGACCCCGAATATTGTAAAAGGGTGTATTAACAACATTGATAAAAAAAAAACCGTTGTCAAAACTCAATTTAGTGAATCATTAGCAAACATAAACTTGCTAAATATTGCAATAGATCCCTTTCAACAATGCAATTACTGAATGTTGCTTTACATGTTGCAAAAGGTATTTTTTTCTTTTAGTGACATCAAGGGATCTCTTAGAGAATGTAAGTCAGCAAAAAGTTTTTATTAATGAGTTAGTTGTAAGAGAACATGCTAAAGTGTTATGAACGTGACATAGTTTACTTGCTAATCGCACACACAATATATGGGAAAGTCACAAAAATTGTTGAACAGATAATGTCAACATGCCCACGAAAAGGAATTAATTGCATATTATCCCATTGTGCTAAACAAATATAAAGATGATGCATCTAATTCAAAACCCTAAAATTGCTGCCCAATAGAGATGTTGGAATTTTGTCACCCAACTGAAAATAGTATGTAGAAAATCGAAACACAAACAACCAAAAATAGTAGTGAGCAACGCAAGAAACAGTCACCCAGTTCGGCAAAAGCCTACTCTAGAGGGCTCAGAGGTAAGAGTCCGTCACTATGTGCAAGAACCTCCCAAGAGAGAGTTTAAGTTTAGAGTACAACAATCAGATCTCCTTCTCAACCAATAGATCATCTATCTATAAAAGATGTTGCCATATGAAACCTAATCAACCAAGATACAACCAAAAAGTATAGCAATGTTCTTATACCATTTGAATACTGACTGAAAGATGCCCAAAAACTACCTAAAAGGAACATTAGATACAAGTCAAGTACAATTTGAAATCACCACAGACCACAGGCCACATATCAAAGAACAAGATCTGAATTTATAGCCAATAAAGGAAAGCACAACAGATCTGAAGAAGAGAGATCAAAATTTCTGTGAGGGAAAGAAAATTGCCAGAGAGCAGAGAGAAAGCCAAGTGAATAATGGAATGAATTTGATGCTCTATCAACTGGCCAACAAAGGGTTAAAAAAAATGGATTTAAGCCACAGCCGTTGATCTTGATCAACGGTCCAAATCATCTACCAAAAAACACAGATCCGAGTGATAGTAAATCAGCTACCAGTGGACGTGCGCCAAGTGGACAGCCACTTAAAAAAACGTTTTCCCATCTGTAAAATGGGTTTTGGATTTAGAAAACACAATTATACAATAGAAATCATAAGAGAGCAGTAACAAATAAATTGAAATTCACAGAAGCTATCGAGCAACAGGGCTGTAAAAAGGAATTAATGGCACATCATACCATTGTGCGTCTCAAATATCACAACGATCTAATTGATTCAAAACTATGAAATTTCTACACAATAGAGAAATCATAAAATTGAGTTAACATATAAATCAACTATAGAATTTATAAGTGTTGTAATATCCATTCACAAACAGGCTGATTTCACCTAGTAAAGAAAAAGAAAATATAAATAGTAAGGTTACCAAAATCCCCGAAAATAAATACTAGGTGTCTAACATCAAGGATTAGTCTAAGAATAGCCTCCTCTTTTCGAAACAAAGGGTCTGAAGTGGATCTTTGTGTTATGAAGTATGGATACACTTTTCTTGCCACCTTTTCAATATCATCTAGAATACAATACTGCATCAATGCACAGCTTCTTCCAACTATCTAAAGTGGAATATTGTCATTACTAATAATTTTTATTTTATTTTATTTTTATCCGTGTGACTCAAGTTTTGAGATGTGAACTTTGATTAGAAGTGATTGTTTCAAATAGATGAAATGTCAGTACAATAGATAGGATTTGAGAGGGGACTTCAAGCCATTCTTATAAAACCTTTAGGAGCGTTCCTCACTCCAAAAAGAATAGAATTAGTATAAAATCAATAACTAAAAGGACCAGACGATGCAGCGGCATCAAGCGAATGTCATACAATCTTTTTAGTTGCAGAATCCAAATCATCGACAAATACTTCAAGGGATTTCTCTAGAGACTACAAATCGACAGTATTTTTTTACTAATGAACTAGTCGTAGGAACACAAGCTAAAATATTATGAAATTGACCTGGTTCACTTGCTAATGGCTCTCTCAGTCACACAATAAAAAACCACCAATAATATAAGTACGCTTGGGAAATTTGAGAAATTATTGAGCATATTTTATTGACATACCTCTAAACATTGTCCGTATCAAATATTAGAATGATGCAACTTAATTCAAAAATTTAAATTTCTGCCCAACACAGAAAATCGTACTATTGAGTTAAAAAATAAATGGAAAATTTGTAGAAGTTATTGAGCATATATTATGAGCAGAGTTTTAAAAATAAATTAAATGCATATCATGCTGTTAAATAATTGACCTCCAATGGTGGATTTTCTGGGCTCAGTTTAACCAATCTCTATCTTATTAAACACACCCAACAAAGGCTCCAACCCAAACAATCTCGATTCTTACTTCGGTTTCTCAAATCAATATGTTCACAAAGAACACAATATGGTGGCTGCAATGAATCACCAAGAATAGAGGAAGACAAATTCGGTTTAAGGCTCAAGAGGGAAAACTAGAGAAAAATGTCGGCTCCTCTTTTCAATTGCAAAACACACACGGCTCCTTCACAAATGAGAGCAATATATAGGTTTAGGGTTAATAATATAATGGGCTCATGGACCAACTAATGGTTAAAGGGGGGGGGGGGAGGGGGGAACACAAATTGAGCCATCCAAGAAGTAAATGGGCCGTGAGCAACATTAACTATATTAAGTTACTTTAAACGACCCTCAAGTTGTTTATCGGGTTGAGCCAATTAATCAAGTGTGTTAATAAATATTTCAATCATCGGCCGAAGTTTATGAAATCTAATCCGACTATCCGACACTGTTTAACATCATTGCCCAGGATTATTGGGTATCAAAAACCCAACAATCTCTACCTTGATGCCCAATAATCTGCAAATAAACAAAACACAAAGTTTAAACTTGCACAATCAAGGTAATCCAATAAAATTGGTATCTCAGACCTTACCTTGTGTTTCGAACCGAAACACATACGATACTTGCTCCATGTACTCACCAGGACTAAGGTCAAAAACACCCAAATAGAAACAAGTATTCACAGTGAACAAACAATCATGCGATGAAGATATATATAGGATAACATACACAAATCTTTTCAAAATCATGTTCACACAGAACCACAAATTAACACCTAGTTAATCAGCACACGGTCAAACACATATACAACAAATGCATAAATGACCCCATGAAAGATCTCACTATACTTATCCTATCACATTCCGTGTTACTCCCACCTCGAGAACACATATCTCCTCTCACCGCCCATCATGCTCACTAAACCAATCACCTAACTCACGTCTAACTGGCAAGTCATAATAGATCCTAAGCTCTCGGGATAATCCTCTATTACCACATCACTTCTCCTAACCTACATGGATAATGGGACTCCACCTTACAGAAGTGATAGAAGTGTCTCTCTCACACTCCACCTGTATAGGGTCTCTTTCACAGATAAATGATTCTACACATTTGATCACATCTCCACTCATGATCCAAATGTCACACTTCACATCCCCACGTACAAATCACCATGTACCCCCAGGCATCTATACTCCACCTTACCAAAAGACATCCAACTCACTGTTAATGCATCTCAAACTCACTATGGCAAATCAACACCTTTCGGTGACCACAAAGGTTAATCCACTCACCAATGCTTCCAAAAATTCACAAAGAAAATAGT